TTTTAAAGATTTATTTATTTATTTTATTTTATGAGTACACTGTAGCTGTCTTCAGACACACCAGAAGAGGGCATCCAATCTCATTACGGATGGTTGTGAGCCACCATGTGGTTGCTGGGATTTGAACTCAGGACCTCTGGAAGAGCAGTCAGTGCTCTTAACCGCTGAGCCATCTCTCCAGCCCAGGTTTTGTTTTTTTGTTTTTTGTTTTTTTCAAGACAGGGTTTCTCTGTATAGCCCTGGCTGTCCTGGAACTTACTCTGTAGACCAGGCTGGCCTCGAACTCAGAAATCCGCCTGCCTCTGCCTCCCAAGTGCTGGGATTAAAGGCGTGCGCCACCATTGCTTGGCATCAGTTGATTTTTAGATGTCAAGTAGACCATTGAAATGAGCCATTACAGTCAGCCAGAGGTTCCTGCCCTCACAAGGCTCAAGGAAGCTTCTCTTTCCCTGCTTGGGGCCATCCCACCTTCTGGCCTCTTGGAGGGACTAAGCCTCTGGTGCTCCTCTGCTTGAGCAGCCCCTACATACAGGCTCTGGGACTCTGCTGTCCCAACTGCTCCTTAACACTTTGAGGGTCAGGGTGGGGCAGGCGCTTGGTCTATGAGCCTATCCCTGGCCCTTTCTGTAAAGTAGAAGAGCTGCTGCTCTTGCAGGGTGGGTGGAGCCTGTGGCAGAGGGGGGCTTATCCTGGTGTTCCCCTGATGGGCTGCTCTTTCTCATGTCCCAGGAATCATGCAGAATACTGCCATGCCCGGGATTGCCCTTGGCAGAAGGCTGAGATAAATGGCCTTCCTTTTCTACCATTTGTCTTTAGAATGGACTTCCAGATGGCTTGCTTTGGGCACAGCCTCAGTGCTCAGCCAGGTGAGATCTCCATATTCCAGTGGCACTGGATAAAGAGCTTGTGACCACCAGGGCTGCCCCAGAACTGCATGCTGGTATGGAGATGGAATAGGAGATCACTGAGTGACAGTCTGTGCTCCTTCACCACCTCCCCTGGGTGCATCCGCCCTGGGTGTGGGAACCAGGTGACCCTTCCACCCACAGTCCCGGCTCCTATCTCAGCCCTTGTGCCTTATTCACACCCACATCCCCACAGCCTGGGATAGCTCTGAGAAAGGGAAGCATAGCTGGGCAGGGCTCCCTGCTTTCTCTCTAGACATTTAAGGAATTCTTGAGCTGAGTTCTGGCTGATGTCCACAGCATCTACAGAGAAATTGGGGTTTCCTATTATTCATCCTCTCCTTGGGAAGCAATTAGAGGGATAATTAAGAGTGTCACCCATGTGTCTCTGTCCCCAGACAGGCTCATTAAAGCTAGTGAGAGACCTGTTTAATGAGGAGCTAAGAGCAGGGTGGGGCAATGAACCTGAGGGAGAAAGAACAAGGCTGGGCACACAGGAGAGCCCCTGAGAATATTAGGGTGCCTCTGGCCTGAAGCCTATCTTCAGTGGTTGGAGTAAGAAGGAATGATTGGGGTGATGGAAGAAAAGATGCCCTTCCCTCCCAGACACCGTGTGTGAGTAAGGACTCACACACGGTGAGTGAGTGAGGACTGGACTAGGGTTTTTGTTTTTTTTTTGGGAATCCAGGAGAAGGCAGCCTTGGCAGCATCTGTTTTGAATATAGTAGGAACTATGACACCAGGTCTTACAGGGACTTATGCTCTGACTAGGGGCCCACAGACCCAGGAGACAGAGGAGAGTGTCTCTCGAACTGCCTTCTTCGCCTTCTGGTTCCATGTGGATTGCATCCGGTCTCTGCTTTGATGATGCCCTGAACAGGTACGTAGCCTGAGCCACAGCATCCCTTGAACGTGGATTACGGTTGGCACAAGACCCTCCTCTCACCAACCCCACCTTGGTCTCTCAATTGTACCCAACCAACCCAGGGGTCCCACACAGCAAGTCACATTTCACTTCTTCCTAAGCTGACCTTGAATTTGGCTCCTCCAGAATGCTAGAATTTCAGGTGTGAGCCACCAGGCCTGGTCCAGATCTCGGAGATATTCTGTAGGATCCCTCCTCTCTCAGAAAACTTGAAATCGCCATTTTAATTCAGCTCTCAGCTAAGATTTCCCAAAGGCTTTTCTGAGGGGACCCCAAAGGCTTCTGACCCAATAACAAACCAATGTGGGAACTACTGCCTGCCCTGCTCAGATCCAGTCCTCCTCCAGACACGCTCCCTCCCTCTGTCCCCCACGGTGTTCTGTTTCTATGTCTTGGACCCACACTCTCCGGTTCCATCCTATTGATGCGTTAAGGGGTACGTGTTGGTGTGAATGCCACACACACACATCAGGACCACTTAAGTATTTGGTCTCGAGTATCGTGCAATCTTCACGAAATGAAAGTATTTATAGCACATCCACTTTAAATTCTTTTACATTTAATTACAATTACTTTTATTTATTGGGGGATGTGAGACAGGAAGAATGTTTGCCACAGTGTACCTGCAGAGGTCTCTCCTTCCACCATGGGGGTTACAGGGATTGAATTCAGGTCAATGTAGAAGCCACCTCGATGTCCAGAGCACTCATGAGGCACCTCAAGATGAAGGAACTTACAGACCCCACGCAACTAGTGACCAGAGGGCCCAGGGCACACCAGAAATGGACCCTGGAGTCATTCTCGCTACCATTAGGCCTTTCTGCAAAAATGATGTACGCACTAGGACCTAGAATGAGGTCCCAGGTGGGAACAGTGCCCAGAGGGCTGCACATGACAAAGGCCTGGCTTACATCTCCACTTAAGGAAAAGCAGCAACTCCTGGCTTTTCAGGGACAACTATTCACTCACCAAAGAGCTGTTGGCTCTGCCCACCAGGCAGTGCAAAGGCCCTTCCCTTTCCACACTCACCTTGTCTGTCCCACCTCAGCCAGGCTAGACTAGCACATTGATCAAGCAAGCCCTTTGCCTCCAGAGCCCATAGCCTCAGATCTAACCTGAGCTGCTCCTGTGTGGTGTTCACCACTTTCTTTCTTTCTTTCTTTCTTTTTCTTTCTTTCTTCCTTTCTTTCTCTCTTTCTTTCTTTCTTTTTTTTTGTTTGTTTGTTTTGTTTTTTTGAGACAGGGTTTCTCTGTGTAGCCCTGGCTGTCCTGGAACTCACTCTGTAGACCAGGCTGGCCTCGAACTCAAATATCCACCTGCCTCTGCCTCCCAAGTGCTGGGATTAAAGGCATGCGCCACCACCGCCCGGCTGGTGTTCACTTTCGATCTCAGCGTTCCCCTATACCCAAAGTCACCCCCTCTTCTCTCTACCAAGGCTCCCACCACAGCCCAGGGGAAACAGCTGAAAGGAATGGAAGATGTCACAATCCAGACATCCTGGGGATTCTTAGCATAGTCCAAATATCAAAGTTGGCTCCCAGCTGCCCCCATGCCACAGACTGGAAGATGGAGACTAGACAACAGGGGACTGAGGAGAAGCACAGAGTGGAGATAAATTATCCAGATTGGGATGAGAGGGACAAATTGAGGGTTGGGCCCTGTGCATCAGCACTGGGAGGGCTTTAGAAACTCAGAGAGAGATGGAGGAGTTAGCCTTCACAGGTGTGTATGTGGTCCTATCCGCCCTGACCATCCTGTAACAGCTTTTCAGAAACCCTATCTCGTTCACACCTGAGCAGAAAATGCTGTTCTTGGTACCCTGGACTTACAGCTCTAACCTGTGCATATCCATCTCTGGCTGAGGTTCTGATTTAGGATGCAGGGAAAAGTTAGGAATAAAAAGAGCATTCATCTGCTTACTGTCCTCCCTCCACAAGCTCCTCTAGACCCAGGGGCTTTCTGCCATCAGCCAGATGGGAAACCATGAAGTGTGCTCTGGGGGAGGAAGCCAAGCATGTCGGCAGATGCACGTCGGTGATTTGGCTTCTGCAACCTGTTGCCTAGTCCCACTTAGTTGCTGTGGCCATAGAGGGAGACTCCTAGGTGGGGGGACGGAAAGAGTCAGAGGTAGCTATGCCCCGCCACCTCAGGGATCCCATCCTAATGTGATACAAGGCAGCAAATAAACAAAAGCCATCTGCCAAGGCCACAGGGCTCTACCAAATTGTTTTCTTTCTATGCCCATTCTGTTCCAGAAAGTTTGGAGGCAGCTTATAAAATCACATGGAACACAATAGGGTAAAAATAGAACAGAAAAAACAAGGTTGGAACAAATTGTACTATGACCCTGGTTCAGGTGGACTTGCACTGGGCTCTCTGTCATGACAGCAGGGGATCTATTTATTGATTTTCAGAGTTGGATGGATGGATGTGAGGCAGTTAGTGTTTAGCTTTGTTTTGGTTCTTTGTTTTTTCTTGATACTAAAGTCTAAAATGAACTTTGTTTCAGTTTGATTTTTTTGTTGTTGTTGTTTTTGTTTTTTTGAGACAGGGTTTCTCTGTGTAGCCCTAGCTGTCCTGGAACTCACTCAGTAGACCAGGCTGGCCTCTAACTCAGAAATTCACCTGCCTCT